TAAATTTCTGAAGAAAGACAAAGATGGTAATTATTTTGATTTGAGACGATACGTCATCAAAAATACAGAACCATTTTATGATGGGTTATATGATGATAATGACTTGGTCAGTAAAGTTTATGTTGATATGGAAAATAGTAAGCAAGATATTGCTATTGGGGATAAAGCTAACAAGAGTGATGTATTAAATCATGATTTATCTGGAAATTTAGATATGAATGGTAAAGAAGTAATCAATCTTAAACCATTTGTAGAAGATGATGATAAAGATCAAGTCGGACATGTTATTGACTTTAGTTTCTTTCACACAGAAAGAGGTGAATCAAAGAGAGATAAATGATGCTGGTGCATTAGCATCTAATGCTTTACCAAAAGACGGTTCAGAAAATATGGAAGGTGATATCAATATGAATAATCATAAAATCATCAATTTAGGAACACCGATTACCAAAGACAATGCTGTGAGTAAAGAGTATGTTGATACATCGCTTTTCAACAAAGCTGATAAAAATGATATGCTATTACTTGATGGTTCAAATAAAGTGGTCGCTGATTTTGATATGAACAACCAAAAAATAACCAAATTATCCACCGATGCAGCAGATGTGCTGTCAGCCACCAATGTCATGTATGTAAACCAAGCCAAAGCAGATTTGACTGCATCACTGACTGCTAGTTTCAACAAAAAGATAAATGAGTCACATATCAGAAGCACCACAAGTAAAAAAGATGTTTTCTGATACCTCATGGATGAGGTCAACGAGTCAACAGGTGAAAGTAACATCATTGTTGATGGCATCAAAGACTTCCCTGCTTCACCTCATGACGTAAACAAGAAAGCTTACAGTTTCAGAATGGGAAAGGGGTCAAACAACGAGTATTCATCCCGACTGAGTTTCAACATGTATCTACTTCCATGGGGTGAGTACACTTTGGTGATTGAATTTTTTCCACCAACCATGGATCAGGTGACAGTATCAGTTGTTTCTACTTCATTGAATATCAGTCAACAATCAACCAAACTGTTTCCCCAATACAGCCGATCTATCGTTCACTAGCATAAGTGGGATGTAACTCCTCTCGAATACATCTACGTTGACATGAGATGCCAGGGCATTGGAAGCAGCCCTGCTCAGGGTGTTAGCCATTTGATTGTTTATGGAATCGAGGGGCGACAGAATTATGTGAGCTCAGATGTCTTTGATGTGCTGTATTATTTTGAGAACAATAAAATGACATTCAATACAGAAGTTGAATTTGCACATACTATTGATATGAAAAAATAATAAGATAAAAGGTGTTTTGGAAGGAATTGGTGATGACAATGCTGTTAATTTCAAACAACTATATAGTTATGTGAATGCAGCTAAAATACAAATGCAAACAAAAATCAATACACTAACCACTAAATTACAAAATGCCACATGACTAAAAAAGTATTGTGGGATTTGGTTGGAAGAATATGCTGATTTTTTAAACTCATCACAAATCCAATACAAAGATGATGGTTCCACAATGTCATTAGTTGGTATGTTAACTCTAACAACCACAGAAACAAAATTCGATTTAAGTAATACAAATGGATTGATTGATTTTAATGCTACACTTTCATCAAATCTTGAAACAAATGCTCATTACACCATATACTATGTGATTAATTTTACCACCAAAAATAATAACTACATTAGTGTCAAGCATAAAACAAATAGTGGTATTACTGATTTGACATACACATTATTTTATTATCTGCGAAACAATGTGCATATGTTACAAATTCTTAGATCATTGTCAGAAAGGAGTAGAATCAATATTGAAAATAAATGCTACAACAAACAAGTTATGTTTTGGATTGTAAAAATCAGAACAGTTTCAAATTAACATACTGTAATGGAACTAATGTGTGTGTTTTCAATCGTATAAATAACAACAACAATCTAAACAAAACTTTTAAATTTGAAATCCACTATTCTGTATTAAGAGTCCGACGGTTTCTCTTATAATTCTTATGACATTGGTGGTACAGAATTCAATAAGATGTCGGAATATGAGAAAAAAAGGTACATATTTCAGTTGAATAATATCTAAACCATATACATGTATATGACAACACCGAAGGCTATATTCAATTTCAATCATATTAATCCAAATTTAACAGAATCTGATTTATCCGAATTGAAAGCTTTGTACAAATACTATCATAAAAAATACCAGCTTTTTAAAATGACTTACAAATATTTCAAAAAGGTAGAACTTGCATGTAATATTGTATCTGTTTCATTGGTAGTAACAGGGACAATTGCGGGTGGTGTAACATTGAATCCTATTGTTCTTAGGACAATATCAGGTGCTGGTCTTATTTTGAAAACATTTTCAGAAGCTAAAAATTTCAAAACAAAAATAGAGATGTGTAAATTTGCGTACGCAACATACAAAAAGATATTGACAGATTTACGGTCATTTTTGAGAGGAGTGGAGTTCAATGATAAATAATTTCTTGACTATGTCAAAGTTCTCGATGACATAATCATTGATATGTGTCCATTATACGACAAATTTCAAGACAAATACAACAAGATGTTCATTCAATAAGAGATTTTATTTTATCACCTATTAATAATTGTATATTTGTCCAATATTGCTCATAAAATTTGAGCGTATTTTTTGACTTTGTGATTTGTATGTTGTCACAAGGTTTATTCATTATTTCAAAGATTTTTTCCATGATAAAGTTAATGTTAATCATTCTTTTACGATTACCATTAATTTGTGGGAGTATTTTATCAATTTCTACGAAAATCTGATGTATTTTGGTTTTCTCATGATATGATACAGTGAATTTATTTTCAGCTGTTATATTTTCCAAACGATACTTTCTATCATATATTGATTTCTTCACAATCTTGTATTTGTTTTCATAAAAATCAATAAAATCTTTGGCTGTTTGGTAGTCATTCACTGTACCACAACTTTGGCAAACATTCATACCTTCATTATGGTTGTGTTTTCACTAGGACAGTTTTGGCTAGATAAAGTTGGAAAAGTCCGGAAATGCAGTGAAAACAGTTCGTCTTGAGTTTAGCGAGTTTAAAATGCACGCTGTTTTAACCAGAAAAAACAAGCGATTATCTCGCCAATATGACTGGAAATTCACGCTAGGTTATACTACCTCGCAAGATGGTATAACTTATCTCGGTAAATGCCGCAGCCAACCACATTGTGCGTAGTGACAGACACCTGCCAAAGAATCTGGCAATAGTATGTACCAGACGCTCGTATCGTAGATCGTTTTGCGAAACAGAACTTAAAGCCGCAGACAAGTTCAACAGTCCTCAATTATTTCGGTTTACCATTCCTTCGGTCCTGCTACATTCTCCAGTTCAGGACAGGACACGGCAGCGCCAGATGTACAGAACAAGTTCCTGCATTACAGCATTTCATTGCATCTTCCTCATTTTTGGGGACATTAACCGGGGACATAAATTTATGTATTGGCGAGCTTTGCTTAGGGCTGAACTAAACATATTTGTGGGCTGAAATATTTGTGAAATTGAACTAGAATTGAAGAAAAGCATTGAAGAAGTTCGTTGTGAAAGCAGTTGAGATAGCAGAAAGCAATGGAGAATAGTGTACATAACAAAAACGTGAGCTAGCTGAAGTTTTTTTCTTGATCAGAATTGGTTAATGTAGCTTGGATTATGGTGTCTTAASTAGAAACAGAGCGGTAGTTGGGTTACACAACATTTATATTTGAAACCAGTTGAGATAGCAGGAAGCAATGGGGAATAGTGTAACGAAAAGGTGAGCTAGCTGAAGGTTTTGCTTTGATCAGAATTGGTTAATGTAGCTTACATTATGGTCTCTAATGGAAAACAGAGCTGCTGTTGGGTTACACAACATTTACATGAAAGCCAAACAATACTCAAGTCATGTGAGAGGGAAATTCTGGTTTATGCTATTGTTTATATTTTACCTGGAGGATATGTAATGTATCTTTCAACTTTAAAAACAGTAATTTGCTGAAGAACTAATCCTTTCGCTGTAATGAAAACAGCTTATAACTGTCACGCATGATAAGAACACAAATTTGGTTTGGTTTGACACACATGTATAGTGAGGGTTCTGGGGCAGCGCTCACGCACACAGTGCAAGCATAACGCAACTCCTCATCTGAAGATTCAGAGTTGCGTTACGCTTGCACTGTGTGCGTTCGGCTGCGACCTGAACCCTCACTATACATGTGTGTGTGTAACGCAACAGCAGTTGTCGAAAGTGCGCCAGCCCAATACTAGGGGCGCAGTTGTCGAAACCAAATTTTCGACAACCTATTTTTGACAAGGACACAGTGTTGCGTGAGTGCTGCGCCAGAACCGTGATGCAGCAGTAAAATTTGGCGAAATAACGGGTCCAGCAAAGCTGCAACGTCCGTAATCAATATGCGCGGATGTGCCCTTCACTAGTATATACAAAATTGCGCGAGAAAATTTTTCCTATTGGAGAAGTGCATGCTCAGTGTATACGCCGACATGGCTGCCGCAAGATATTCTTCCGATGTTCTGCAAATGTTCTAAGGCCCAATACCGAGGGAGGAAAGAACAAACCTTCCCGAGCCGTTAAGACCTGATTTTACCGCATTATATGACAGGTTCCAATTATCCCAAAACGATTTCCAAGAATGGCTCCGTGTGTGGAGAATGGCTATATCCGAAAGGAACCCAAACAATAAAGATCTTTTGAAGTTTGCAAGAGAAAACAAAGAAAAGATAACCGATTCGGTTGGACAAGAAGCCCAAAGGTTAAATAGCATTTATAAGAGTGCATTTTTTTTTGGACAACCAATTTTTTGACAACCAAAAATTTCGAAAAAGGGATGTGGCAGACACACAGGAAGAAGAAGCAACAGACAAACTGGAAGAAGAAGAGGCAGCAGACACAGCAGCAGGCATTTTTTCGGTTGTCGAAAGTGCGCACAATTGCACAATAGACACAAAAACAGACCAAACATGGTTTTGCAAGAAAAACTTCTGGATTTCGACAACCAAACAATAGTTCTCCAACCTTCCAATCTTGTAGCTCTATTTTTTCCAAGAGCCAAAGACGCAGCAGAAGCAGTCGAAGGCGACGATGCAGCAGCAGACAAGAGCCCACCAAATACAGCGACAAAACAAGCCTTCGAAAGCGGAGACACAGAAGCTGACAAAGATGCAGCAAAACAAACCTTTGGAAGCGAAGACGCAGCGACAAAACAAACCTTCGGAAGCGCAGACGCGGCAAACATTGCGACAAAACAAACCTTCCAAAGCATGGGCCTCCGGTGCGAAAAATACGTCACAGAGCACCTTCTTCTCAAAAACGCATACCAAAGCAACCTGTTGTCCGACATCTCCAAGGTAGACTATCTGGAAGAGAACCTCGGTAACACGAATTTGCACCTTCTGGAGGGTCTGACGGCCTTTGTAGACGACATATTTGTCTTTGGCTACGTTTCTCAAGAGGAGTGCGTCTTCCAGAGAGGAAAACTGTGCTGCACAAGTCAGGAGAAGAGGGCGGAAAAACTAGTGGTGGCGAGCATCGCAAACGCTTTGAAAGAGCCCTGGGGAAAGGGGGCTACATGCAGACATCCCTTGTGCACACAGTCGCGGTCGGAGAAGCTGCAACCAGCACAATCCATGCAACAATTGCGAAAATTGGGAAGGACACACTCTGCAGGGCGAAAGGAAAATGGAAAGAAATCCACCCGAAAAAAGCGATTGCCGGGTATTTCGTGGCGAAATGCGATGTTTCGGAAATCCCTCTGGAGGATATCCACAGCAGTCTGCATGTTTTCGAAAAATGTCTGGAGGGCTATGGCTACGGAATCTACAGCATCGACTACACGCAGGATTTTTCAGGAGTTCTGGATCGCGAAGCGCTTGTGGCCCACCTTGGTTTTTGAAAGGCAGGGGATTTCTGCACAGCAATCGCCGAAGAACAGCCGACGATTCTAGAAAACACAAAAACCATCGGGAAGCACGTCTCCACCTGGATAGCGGCACCCAAGGAAGGGCACACACCACGCACAAAAATATACAACAAAGTCGTGTCGAATTTCGAGGCAGGAGAAATCCGCGAACATGTTGGCGGCCATCTGGCAGACTACGCCGACTACCCGAACCTGCACCTCCGCCAAACCTTCCTAGACCCGGATGTGCAAGCTCGAGGGTGCACACACATCAAAGTCTCTCTGTACGCGCCCCCACAAAACGAACTTTCGAGCAAGAAAGCCACAGACTATGTCGGGAAAGTCTTGGAGCAAGTTTCCCCCGAAGACGAGGAGGACGGCCTCTTTGTGGTCCAACCCCCCAGTAAACAGTGGCAAAACCTTGCCAAAAACCTGGATCGGTGTCTGGTTCTCGCAGACAGACCGCAAGGAAATATCTTTGTCGGCTGGTACGCCCACACAGAGACAGGAGGAATTTCGGGGATCCACGTATGCCCAACACCAGCGAAAGTGCGAGACGAAGAAAAGTGGGAAAAAGCTGTCTTGTGGGCGGCGGGGGACTTTGGCTTCTGGAATTGCCCAATTTTTCGGGTAGACATCCTGTCCACAGACGAAGAAGGGGTGGAGCTAGGCCCACTCCGTTCCTACACGAAAGACGAAAACGCTCGCACAATACTCGCCGCAAGCAAAAAACCAATACAGCTCCACCCAAACGAGGGCGACCCGTCGAAGCTTCTATCGCCAACAGACAAAGTTGTGTGGAAATGGCGGGACAAAAAATGCCACGCAATCGGCAACGATTCTTCCAAATACGAGCTCCAAGAAATACAAGAAATCGCAGAACAGAGCAAAATATCCGCACTTTCAACAACAAACAGAGAAAAAGTTCTTGCAGAGATTTGGCATGCCTGCACAGCTGAGGAGTGGAGACGAGAGATTTGGCAGAGAAGAAAAACAGCGAAAAAAAGAGGAGGAAGCGGCAAAGGCTCGAGTAGCAGAAATTGCCAACCTGCGAAAGTACACCGAGGCGAAGAAATAAATTCAAGCAAAAAGCTGGGAGATTCGTGTAACAGTGGTTGGCACTCTGTCTGGTGCGACAAAAAAAGTTGTGGAATTGCCAGCAGGCAGAAAATGGGATGTCCTAGGTTTTCGAGGCAAAGAAGACAAAGTCCGTGTTGTATTGCGGCATGGGAAAGAAGCGGCAGTTGCTGTTTGGGCGACAAAAGGTTTGCAAAAAATCCTTGTAGAATATGTGGACAGCTTCCGTTCGGACGAGAAAGACAGCACTGGTCGGCAGCTTTTCTGGCTAGTGTCTTTCACAGGTGTCGAAAAATTTGGAGGGTTGGTGCTGTGAATCGAACCTTTGAAAACTTTCAAAAACTGGGAAGGAAAAACCATCGTGTGGAACCCCATACAAGTGGTATCCGTGCCAGACAGTGGAAGACTTGCATTCTTGCAGGCTCTAGGATCAAAATGCGAGGAGTACGAAGCCCTTTGTGTGGAATTAGCCAAAAACTGTCTGCAGAAAATCCCTGCGCCGGGAAACAAAACGACGAAAAAAACAACAGACTTGCCGGAAGGGGAGTACATATGCAAACGTTTCGCTACCACAAGCTTTCGAAACGCCTTGCGGACCATTCTGTTCTTCCTCCCGCTCGGAGAAGATGGGAACCAGCAACAGACGAAGAAACACCAACACACGGAGTCTTTCTGGAAAAGGAGATAGCGGCGATGGGCGGCATCGAAGTGCTAGAAAAAAGAAAAACCCCATTGCGTTGCTGGCTTGGCGAGGAGAAGACAACACCGAGCAACAGAAAGTGCCGCAGAGTTGCGATAGCGTAGCCGTGGGGCAAGCCCCACACCCCAAACTTCTACACGGGGACAATAGTTCTGCCTTCGAAGCAGAAAGGAAAGTGTCCCTCGAAAGCAACAACAAAGAGTTCACCAAGATCCCAGTCAAACCATTTTTTCGCTGTCTCCGAGTCGATATGGCCTACAATGTGCGCCGATTTGTTTTCCAACGAAGAGACAAACTTGCAAAGAGCAGGTGAATGCTTCCAGCAAACCTCTTCTTCTAGCTGCTGGTATTTTTTCTCGCATGGACGGACTTGTTCGAAGCGGAAACATGGGAGGTTTCCTTCTTTTCGAACAAGTTCCATGGTGCATATTTTGGAGCCTTGCACCTTTTCAGTTTACAAATCATCCGCTTTGTCTGCGGGTTATTTAGCGTTTATTTTTTTTGCAGCTAGCAGGAAAAGAAAGCCAAAACCAAAAAGTGCAGCCGCTTGCACAAGAAGATACAAAACAGACGTCGCCGCATTGCCAGCTCGAATTGCTGCGTTGCAGTTGTTCTCTATACTCTCCAAGATGGTAGCTTCCTTTTCTTCCACGCCATCTTTCCTTGGCAAATGTGCGGCAATTATTTTCAGGTGTTGGGATATTGCATGCACATCTTGGCGAAGGTATCCAAACAACTCAAAAAAGGGGTCTTCTTCTTCTTGGTGTTCTTGGTGTTCTTCTTGTTCTGGAGCAGAGTGTTTTGGGTCCATTTTACCGGCTTCTTGCCAAATTCTATACAGCCTTGTTCGAATCCCGAAGCGCTCCCGGATCAATGCGATATTCTCATCTGTTCCCTGCGTCGCAACAATTTCTCGTTTTTCTCTTGCGGAAAGATTTTTTACAGGAGGCATGTTTGCATATATTCTAGTTTTTGCAGAATTCAAAAGAAAAGTGGTGCCTTGTTTGCGCGCCGCGGTTGTGTTGCAGCAATGTTGTCTCTTGGCCGCGGTTGTGTCGCAACATTTTTGTCTGTCGGCCACGCTTGTATTGCTGCTGTGCAAAAAAAACCGCGGGATCAGTGCGAATTATTTTTTGTTGCCCACTCTTATGCGCGCTTATTAAAAACCAGTATTTCTTTTTTCAAAGTAGTTTTTCTCAAGAAATTTTTTAACAATTTCTTAGAAATACTTGTTTTTAATAAGCGCACATAAGAGTGGGAAAGAAAAAATAATTAGCACTGATCCCGCGGTTTTTTTCGCACAGCAGCAACACCACCGCGGCCGACAGACAACAATGTTGCGACACAACCGTGGCCAACAGACAACATTGCTGCAACACAACCGCGGCATGCAAACAAGGGACCACTTTTCTTTTGAATTCTGGAGAAACTAGAATATATGGAAACATGCCTCCTGCAAAATACCTTGCTGCCAAAGAAAAACGAGAAATTGTTGGCACGCGGGGAACAGATGAGGCAATCGCATCAATCCGGGAGCGCTTCGGGTTTGGAACAACAAGGCTGTATAGAATTTGGCAAGAAGCCGGTCAAATGGACCCAAAACACTCTGCTCCAGAACAAGAAGAACACCAAGAAAAATCCCAAGAACAACACCAAGAAGAAGACCCCTTTTTTGAGTTATTGGATACCTTTGCCAAGACGTGCATGCAATATCCCAACACCTGAAAATAATTGCCACACATTTGGCAAGGAAAGATGGCGTGGAAGAAAAGGAAGCTAGCATCTTGGAGAGTATAGAGAACAACTGCAACGCAGCAATTCGAGCTGGGAATGCGGCGACGTCTGTTTTGTATCTTCTTGGGCAAGCGGCTGCAGTTTTTGGTTTTGGCTTTGTTTTCCTGCTAGCTGCGAAAAAAATAAACAATAAAAAACCCGCATACAAAGTGGATGATTTCTAAACTGAAAAGGTGCAAGGCTCCAAAATATGCACCATGGAACTTCTTCGAAAAGAAGGACAGCTTCCACGTTTCCGCTTCGACCAATTCCATGCATGCGATAAAAAATACCAGCAGCTAGAAGAACAGGTTTGCTGGAAAGATTGGCCTGCTCTTTGCAAGTTTGTCTCTTCGTTGGAAAACAAATCGGTGCACATTGTAGGCCATATCGACTCGGAGACAGCGAAAAAATGGTTGGACTGGGATCTTGGCAAACTCTTTGTTGTTGCTTTCGAGGGAGACTTTGCTTTCTGCTTTGAAGGCGGAACTATTGTCCCTGTGTAGAAGTTTGGGGTGTGGGGCTTGCCCCACGGCTACGCTAGCGGAACTCTGCAGCACTTTCTCTTGCTCGGTGTTGTCTTCTTCTCGCCAAGCCAGCAACGCAATGGGGTTTTTCTTTTTTCTGGCACTTCGATGCTGCCCATCGCCGCTATCTCTTTTTCCAGAAAGACTCCGTGTGTTGGTGTTTCTTCGCCTGTTGCTGGTTCCACATCTTCTCCGAGCGGGAGCAAAAACACAATGGTCCGCGAGGCGTTTCAAAAGGTTGTGGTAGCGAAACGTTTGCATATGTACTCCCCTTCCGGCAAGTCTGTTGTTTTTTTCGTCATTTTGTTTCCTGGCGTGGAGATTTTCTCCAGACAGTTTTGGGCCAATTCCACACGAAGGGCTTCGTACTTCTTGCATTTTGATCCTAGAGCCTGCAAGAATGCAAGTCTTCCGCTGTCTGGCATGGATACCACTTGTATGGGGTTCCACACGATGGTTTTTCCTTCCCAGTTTTTGAAAGTTTTCAAAGGTTCGATTCACAGCACCAACCCTCCAAATTTTTCGACACCTGTGAAAGACACTAGCCAGAAAAGCTGCCGACCAGTGCTGTCTTTCTCGTCTGAATGGAACCTGTCAACATTCTAGAGGGATTTTTGCAAACCTTTTGTCACCCAAACAGCAACTGCCGCTTCTTTCCCATGCCGCAATACAACACGGACTTTGTCTTCTTTGCCTC